TCGACAGCTGGCGTGGGCGCCTGATTATTGCCCTGGGTATTCGCCGTCAGAGCTTCAACCCCTTCAGACGTGCCCCGCGAGTTAGTGCGTGACTCCGAGCTAGATCCCTCGGATGAGCTCCCGCTGGTGGAACCGCTGCCGGACGACGACTCACTCGACATCTACGCAAACGAGTCGGACGCGAAAACAAAAAACGAGAATAGTAAAAAAAGCAAAAAGGACAAAACTCTAAAATACTGCAAGCATACTATAAAAAGCAAAATGGAACCAGCGAAAACAGAACAGCGAAATTCAAACCTACGAGAAGCTTGGCGAAGATTGGAGCCTTAAAAGAAACAAACGAGCTGGCGAAAAGTGGAGAGACGAAAGACGGAGAAGCGTAGGCTTAATCCTCAAGCGTCAGCTGAAGGTGAGACGAGCGCGCACGGCTCCAGCGGCCAGAAGGGAGTTTATATAGGCACCCGCAGCGTGCGGATCGAGGAAGCGGCGCGGCGGTTAGCGTAACCGCCGTGGCGGTTCAAATTCCAAGAAACAGTTGCACGACGCGATAACCGAAAAAGTAGCTACTCCAAAAAAATAGTAATAATAAATAAATATACAATAATAGTAACAATAAAAAAATAAAATAAAAATATATACATATATACATATAATCAACACGAACCTCCACCCTTCGCCATGGACGGCGTTCGAGCCCCGCGGGGCATCAATTTCACAGTTTCACAAGGCGCCGCGCCCTGATCAGACGTCTCATCGCGCGGCACCAAGGGGCTAATGTTGGGGGCAGGCCCCACCGCTAGGCACCCCAGTGCGCCTCGTCCGCCGTCCAGAGGTCTGGCACGGGTGAAATGAAGATAAGAGAGAGCATATGGAGGTTTCCATGTCGCTCCAGCGAAAATGGGAAAAACTGAGTTCTGGCCCTGCTCGGACGGAACCGGCGTCGCCGGTGGCCCATTCATCGCCTTGGCAAGATGTCCATGGCTCGCGTTATCTGGTTTCTGTGCGCCTATTCACCACGGCGAGATAAGCGGCGTTGGTTCAGGGAGAGGGCTCAGCCGAGCCAAGCTAAACGCTTTGGCGAATAGTTGTTAACAATGAAGTTATCAACATCATTGCAGGTTTCGCCGGTGGAGGAGCTAACCGCCAGAGGACGACCGACATTTATTGACGACCAGGGCCCGCCCTGTCGGGCAAGGGGGCGACATCACAATGGAGCCGGTCGGGTCAGTTCAAGCCAGCGTTAACCAGGGCAGGCGAGAGCTCCAAATGGCGGACAAACCCTAGGCTGCGAGGAATATTCCCCGAATAAAGAGTAGTTGTGGGGGCATTTCCATCCCATGGAAGGCCTACGGGCGTGTATAAATAGCCCTCACTCAGGGAGTGTAAAGGGAGAGGAACAGGTGGAAATAGAGCGACTCATTTTATTTCACTTGTGTCTTCTTATGTGCCTGATTTCGCTTGCGCAGCAACTGGTGTTCGAAGGCTTTCGGCCGAGAACAACAGCAGCCCTGGGATTTATCCCTTCGGCTCCTGTCCAGCGAAGGCCTTGGAGCCCATCCCGCAGCCCAGCTTGGAAGCCCATCCATCGGTCCCGCAGCCCAGCTTGGAAGCCCATTCATCGGCCCAGTACATGACATTCCCCTCCGCTTAAAATGTGGCTTGCCCTCAAGCCGCTCTTGAAGCCACCAGGATCCCATGGAGCTTGAGACTTTTCCACTCTACAAAGCAAGCTACCCATGAACTTGATGATTGTAGCCGCATGCATCATCTGCAGTCTGTGGTGAGCATAATTCTGTTGCATAGATAACCATGGAGGCTTCCACTGTACTTTCTCCATATCAGTCAATAAGTTCGTGCAACTATCTCCAGTTATGAACATCTGTCTGAATGTCAGAACTGAACAAGTGGTGATCTGAATCTTATCACTTATTGTGTATTTACCCACCACAACAAAGCTTCTATGACAGTCAGCAAGTTCGTTCATCTTGCTTTTGCCTAGCAGAGGAGGTGCCCATTGTTTCTGCTCACCAGCTAGGAAACAACTGAAAGATATCCAAGGTTGTGACTGCATCTGTACTGCATCTTTTGGAATATGTAATGGCACAGAGTTTATTTTCAACAAAAATTGAGCTATCATCAACAGAGATGTTGTAGGTGGATCTTCCACTGCCTGAGGATAAAACTGAAGGATCCACATCTCTTTCATCTTGAAATCCACCACCCGGCTATTGGAATTTGCTGTGAGAATATCCGAGTGTGGGTAAACAACAGCTTGCATCCCCTTACTGAATTGTCCTAAAGCCCCCTTTGGCACGGCTCATCCAAAACGGCTTCACCGGTGAAGCCAGAAAAACTGGTTTTTCCCGGCTTCTAATTCATTTTAACCCCGGCTTACAAAACGGCTTCACGCTACAGTGCCAAAGAGGCCATGGTGCTCAGTCATGCAACTAGTGAGCTGAAGAAACTTATCAAATGCACAACACTGAACTAATCTGGCATTGCACATTACCATCGTAGCAACACTCCCATTTCTGACATTTGAAATTAGCAAAATCAAGGGCAGTAACAACTCAACTTCTTTCTTGCACTCGTACATCGCAACAATCTCTATTGGCAAGCCTCCCAGATCATCATGAATATTACAGTTTGCTCCGGTCTTCTGCAGCCACTGAATGAAGCTGGGATACCCTACAGAACCTGTAGCAAGCAAGCCTCCATCCAACACCACAGTGAGTAGATTGGATTGTATGAGCACATATATCAGCACATATGATGTCCACACATGCATTATTGACACTCCACGACTAGCTGATTTGCACTGACTCCAAGATAGAATTTGTTGAACCGAGAGCTCCCAGTAGAGAACAGCCACATTTCCTAGACCTGGTAGTATCCATGTGCATAACCTTGAATTCTTTGATGGTAGCTTCTCATTCTTCCTTGAACTGAGCCCACCTAACCACCATGTTGTCAGCTGAAATTTTGCACTTGGCAATTCTAATTGCAGATGTGGTAAACCAAGAGGCTCCAACTGATCATTCCAGTACGCCTGCTTCTGCTCACTAACATCCAATTGATAGTAGCTGCACCTTCCCATAACTAGAAACATATTCAGTAGCTCAACAGCTAACCATGGATGCCCACCAGAGTATGCTCCAAACCGAACAACATGATCAAACGGCTCTACCCTTTTCTCAAATTGCTTCTGGCCCTCATGAAAATTGGTGGTGCTACCCAACAGAAGAATCTCAATCAACTGAGATGGTTGTAGAGTGGCGATATACCTGCATGACATTCCGTCAAACACCTCCAAGGCCTCCATGGAGACAGCAGCAGGTTTGCTCCAAGCTGATGCAACGAGCGCCCAGGACTTGTACTGGAGTGACATGGGGGTTGGTGGAGTCCTTGCCGCGGTAGGTGTCGCCGTGGAGGACGAACGTGCGGCAGTATTGCAACGCCGTGCATCTCGCAGCCCTCGAGTGACGCTGGCACGGGTCTGCACGCAGGTGGCGTGGACACGAAGCTCCCAGCGACGATGACGAGGATGACGCCCTGGAGCCCCCTGTGGCAGCCACCCTCGCAGCGCGTGATGGTGCTGCTGTGCGCGAAGTCGAGGCCGTTGTTGACAACGGCGGCGACGCGGGTGTCGATGCATGCCCCGCTCGTCTCCGTCGCCGCTGCCGTCCATGCCGCGCCGCGACGGGCCGCGCCTGCTGCTGCGTCCGCACCAGGACGCGCGCCTCGTGGTCGAAGTCGTGGCGCTGAGGCCCTGACTCTCTGTCGTCGAGTGTTGTGCTCGCGCGCGCAGCCGAGGGCGCCGACTGCACCATGCAAGGCGCCTAGGCGGACGCCTCCGCCTTGCCCTCGTCGAGTGCTGAGCTCGCACGCACCGCCGAGGATGTCGACCGGTACGTGCCTCCCGAGCGCGCCTTGGTCGTGCTCGACGTAGGCGTCCCGTGGGTACCCCGCGAGCATGGAGAGGTGGGCGGCGACGTCGGCGAAGCGGCAGTCGACGGAGACGAGCGCGCCTCGGTCGTGCTTGACGCGGACATCCCATGGGCGTAGTAGCTGGGGTAGCCGGGGTCGTCGAGGAAGGTGACCACACATGTGCGGTGGTGAGCGGCGCCGACAAGGATGTCGTTGGGTGGGTCGCCTCGCTCCTGTTCTGACCCGAATCAACCGAAATGGCGGCCGTCGCTGATGCCGTGCGGTGCTTGATGCCCGCGACTATGGAGGCGAGCGCGCTGGTGCGGCGCGGCCGGGTGGAAAGCGAGGCCTCGTCGGTGTTTCCAAGGGCCGGTAAATTTGTATTTACACGTATGGTACAGACGGTGTATTCGAACAACACAGGGATTCGTTGGAATGACAACGATTTATACTGATTCGGACAAAATGTCCCTACGTTCAGTTTGTTGCTGCTTATGTTACCGACATTAGTTTGCAGTAGGAGTTACAAACAGACGAGAAAGAAAGAAGGTCTCAAGTCTTTAGTGAAAAAATCGAACGGAGTTGAATCTCGTTGAGCTCGTTCTGTCGTGTGCTCATGCCTCTCCTCTCTTATCGGTGTTTCGAGTTACCACCGATGAGTAAATTTATAGAGAAAATTATCTATTTGACACTAAAATAAATCAGTCTTTCGTATGTAGCACTAAAAATTTTGAACTTTCTTATCTAATGTTGAGTTAAAATTTTCTTCTCTAAATAGCAGTGCCGTCCATTTGAGACGACATTTCATTAGTTGACTGTATTGACCGTGGCACTTTTCTTTAAGAAGGACCAAAAATACCCTTCTGCTTGTCACGCAGCTCGTCTCCTCTCCGACCACGTGCGTGCACAGTCCTAAGCTCGCTAGTAGCAAGGCTGCTGAGCTCCCAGTCCCAGTCCAGCGCACATTCCCAGTCCAGCACATGCGCGCACAGTCCTAAGCTCGCTAGCCAGCAGAGCTCCCAGTCCCAGTCCAGCACCGCAGCAGGACAGCAGGTCGTCGGTCTCGTCTCGCCATGAGCAAGGAGAAGCACCACCGCGACTGGATCCTCCGCCGCTGCTGCGGCGCCATCGCCGCCTACATCCTCACGCTCGCCGTGGTCGGCTTCATCGTGCTCGTCATCTACCTGGCGCTGCACCCCTCCAAGCCGTCCTTCTACCTCCAGGACGTGCAGCTCCGGTCCATCGACCTCAGCGACCCGGCGCTCTCCCTCGACCTCCAGGTACGCACAGCGTGTTAGCTAGCTAGTCTGATGCATGCATTTGGTCACCCCCAGCCGATTTCGTGACGGCCGGAGGACGAACTAACGCACGGTACCTGTCGAGCTGCCGGCCGGCACCACGACGACGACGCAGGTGACGATCGCGTCGCGGAACCCGAACGACCGTGTGGGCGTGTACTACAAGACGCTAGACGCGTTCACGACGTACCGCGATGAGCCGGTGCCGGTGCCGGTGTCGATGCCGTCGATCTACCAGGGCGACAAGGACGTGTCGGTGTGGCCCCCCCGTGATGTCGGGCGACGCCGTGCCCGTGGCGCAGTACGTGGCGGACGCCATGAAGCAGGACATCGCGGCGGGCTACGTGCTGCTCCACGTCAAGGCGGAGGGCCACGTCAAGTGGAAGGTCGGCAGCTAGGTCTCCGGCGGCTACCACCTCTTCGTCACCTGCCCTGTGCTGCAAAGAAGGGCATTCATGTCATTTTACCAGCCACTTGACGTCGTTACTCGCCCAAATGAACGGCAGTGTTATCTAGGAAAGGAAATTTCAACTTGGTGTCAAATAAGAAAGTTCAAATTTTTTAGTGCTAAATACAGAAGACTGATTTGTTTCAGTGCCAAATACATAATTCTCCCAAATTTATATTATTGTGCGTCTGGCTCGGATGGTGTGCTTAGAGGATACGAGGTTTATACTGGTTCGGGCAGAAAGTCCCTACGTCCAGTTCGTCGCTGCTGCTCGTGTTACTAGCACTAAAAGTTTGTAGTAGATGGTACAAACGGGCGAGAGAGGAAAATGATTCCAAGTCTCGGTGAAAGAAGTGAACGGGTGCTAAGAGCTCGATTGCTGCGTAGTCAAGTGCTCGTATCGTGTTTCTTGTGTCGATCTCGATTGATCGGTTTTAATTAGATCGCCCTCCTTCATGGGACGCTCTGTTTTCTCTTTTATAGGCCAAGGAAAAGCACGGGTTACAACGGAGGAAAAGAGAAGAACGAGAGAGAAGAAGTCCTTCAGGATCGTCGGGTCCTTCTTATCCTTCATGCGGGTCCCGCCAACCCTGTAGATGTCAACAGGGACAACTCCGCGTTGTGGCCCTCTCCGTTACTGGTGCCATACGCAGGCGTGGTCTGCCGGTCATGGCGTTCCATTCCGTCGCAGCGGATGTCGTGGTGAGCTGACGCGCCAATCAGCGTTCGTACGGTGGTTAGACAGAACAGCACCGGTACGCCCGACGCTGTTCTTGATGTGAATCCTTAGGTATGGCCCGTCATGGCCACGAGTTACATTGAGACGTGCCGGTCTCTTCCTTGGTGTTAGAGTTTTAACCTAGGCCCATACGTTTTGACCTAGAGTGGTTGGCGGTGGTATGAGTCCCCGACGGGCAAGGCGGATCCCGTGGCCTCGGGGTCGGACGAGGCGGAGCACAAACCTAAGGGTCAGGCGAGGCGGAGCCCACCCCCAGAGGTTGAGCGAGGCGGAGCACAAACCCAAGGGTCAGGCGAGGCGGGGCCTGCCCCCAGAGGTCAGGCAAGGCGGAGCACAAACCCAAGGATCGAGCGAGGCGGAGCCTGCAACATTAGGGGCGGGTGGAGCTGTAGTCGCGCTCTTGACTGCTCGGATGAATCAATGTTGATGGTCATTAGCTCCTCCTCTTCGGGTACCCTAGTATTGGTCCCTGACAGTAGCCCCCGAGCCTACGGAGGAGTAGAATACTCCTTCGGAGGCTTTTCCGTACGAGAGGACTCTGAGGGCCTTGGCCTTTTCTTGTCGCCCACGGCGTGTCCTAGGGACGGCGATTCCCTTTCGTCATGATCGGGCCTCTTGGGGTATAGCCATGAGATTTGGTGGGTCGAAAAAGGTCTTTCCTGATTTCGACCCTTATGGGGGTCTGTCGTTCTACAACCGTGCATTCGGTCTCCTTGTGAGACCAACTTTCCTCGAGCCCTCGCACGTATCAGGGGTCCGGTCAAGGGTCGGCTCGTCTTCATGATCGTCTTCCCTTAAGCATTTTTTCTAATAAAAGCGGAGGGGCTAAACCGTGAAATGATTTTCCTCTATGGACGAGCCATGGTGCTCGGTGAGTTGTTAACGGGCTAGTCCGAGTGGGGCTCTGGCATCCCATTCGTGGGGGTCCACCTTGGGTCAGCTGGTGACCGACTCTAGATTCTTAGCAGTCAATCCATATAGTTCTCAGGTCCGTTCGATCGGCCCCGAGGGCTCTGCCGTTCTTCGAGAAAAAAACCATGAATCGTATCCGTCCGAGGCTCAAACATGGGCCGGGACGCCCACGGCGCTCGTGCGCCTGGGTATTGGCCGCTAGCGGGCCCATCCCTTTCCACCCCTCACTCTAAAAGTGCCCAGAGCGTTTGTCAAACCCGTCGGTGGGCCAACCTTCGAACTCCTGGGACTTAGATGGGCCGTAGGAGCGTTTTTAGCTCCATATCCCTCTTACCTGTGACGGGTCATGGCCCGTTCGAGGAGGCGAAATGTTCGGCGAGTTTTCCGAGGGGGTGGCCATAGGTTGCGTGTGCACGCCTCGCGGTGAGACGTGGTGACATGCCGTGGCTGGCGCACAGATCTAGGCTGGTGGTTGGTTTCCTCGCATCCGTCGCCCCTATAAAACCAAAGGGTTAGCCCTCCATGTTTCAGACGCACGCCTGCATCCTTACCTCCGTAGCCACGCCGCCACCGCCAATCGCTTAGGTTTTCTACCTCCGCATCCCCGCCGTCGTTGAGCTCGCATCCATCCGCCCCCACTTCCAATGGATCCGTGGTGTCGTTCCGACATCACCTTCCAGCGCATGGATGGCCTCGTCCATCGCGGTCTTCTCCACGTGTGGACATCGGTCGAGGAGTGGTTGCTACCCGACGATGAGGATCTGCCATCACCGCCCGATGGCTACGTGGTGTCATTCGCCCACTACCGCGAGCATGGGCTCACGACCCCGCCCACAAATTCCTCTGAGGGCTATTGCACTTCTACAAGATCAAGCTGCAGCATCTTAATCCCAACGGGATCCAACACATGGCGGTGTTTGTCACGCTGTGCGAAGGATTCCTGGGGATCAGCCCCCACTTCGACTTGTGGAGGTATTTCTTCATCATCATCCTCCAGAAGAAGAGGGAGATGGGCGGCAGGCAGGAGCTACACATGCCGATGGGGTGCGTCGGCATCCAACTTTGGAACAATTGGGTCGGTGAGTACCCGTCGATGCGACTCTCGATGTCGAAAAAGGGGTGACACTCGTAGTGGTTCTACCTCAAGAATGACGCCGCCGTCCCTCTGCCGGAGTTCACCGGGCGTCTGATCGAAGAGGCTCCAGAGCAATGGAGGAAGTGGGGCATCCCGAAGAAGGACAAGAAGAAGATTCAAGACCACATCGCCGCCATCCATATCCTAAAGGAGAACGGCCTGAAGGGGTCAGGTGTCATCGGAGCTTACCACGCAAGGAGGGTGACGCCGTTGATGACGTGTGTGCTCCCGCTATACGCGATGGCGCTTGAGTGTATTTCGACGGAATGGTGCTCGCCAAGGGAGTGTTCCCCAACTCCAAGATCGTGCAATGCATCAAGGAGGTGATGGAGCCTTTGCGGGATGACGCGGGTGCCGCCCTCAACTTCGTCTACCCGGTGCTGGGACATCCTCCGCTGCGGTCGGATCTAGGCTACGTTGTTTTTGTAAGTTTCCCTTTCTTTTGCCTTCCCTTCTATTGATTTTCCAACCCCATGAGTCTAACTTTGAGAGGGGCGAGACCAGCCGAGGGACCTCATCCTCACAGATCACCCAGTGCCGCTGCCGAGGGATTCAGCTGTGAGGACGATGAATCTCGCTAAGGGCAAGCGGCTAAGGAAGGCGAAGGAGGACAAGAAGAGGAAGAAGCAGCGAAAGCTGCAGGCGCAGGAACGAGGGGAGGACACCGACGATGATGATGAGGATGATGATGGTGACGACGACGAGGTGATGGAGGAAGAAGAATCGGTAGCTGACTATATCGAGTGGGACAACCTGGAGAACAAAGATGTGCTGACAGGTGTCGGTTCGTCCTTGCAGGCATCAGGACCATTCCTATTCCATAGAGAGGAGGGCACGTCAGGGGAGCCGATGGTGGCAGGACATACCGTTGGCCTCCCCCATGAGCCAACAGAGGCGGGTGGCTCTGTCGTCGCGCCTAAGGTGCTATCAGACGTGGGCGGCTCCGCCGTCGTGCCCCAAGAGCCAAGGGGAGTGGGGCGTTTCGCTAGTGTGCCCTAGGAGCTACCAGGGGTGAGCCCCTCTACCCAGGAGTAGGAGGCGGGCTTGAAACGGCCTCGTTCCAATGAGGCAGAGCAAAGGTCGGGAGGTTCATCCCCCAAACGCATCTGCTGCCCGACGGCGCTGAGGTGAGTTATCAATTCCTCTATTTTTTCCTATTTTAGTCGGATTTCGTCATGACTAATGTTTTTCATCCCTTGTAGCGTCGACAGGCAGTGGAATCCTTTGGCGCTGGCGCCGAAGAAGAGCATCGCCCTCCAATTGAGGCGGCAGCCATCGGTTGGTATCGTGCCCATTTCGGGCATTAGCGGTGCTAGTGTGACCGCGTCGCCGGACGGTCAGACGCCGCCCACGGTGGCCCCTGTGCCCTCAGCGGGATGGGCAGATGTGGGTGTTCAAGGGGCACCTTTGGAGGTCATGGAGCAGCTGGTGATGGCTGCGATACCTCTACCGATGGCGGGATGGATGGGGCTACCGACCGCACTCATGGCGCTGACCGTGGTGGGCGCAACGTAGCCGGTCATGACCCCACCGACACAGGTGGTGGTGGCGACGGCCGTGACAGATGGTCCACAGCTGGGCACAACCACAGCATCGCCTGAGGCATCGGTGCGACCCGTGCCAACGGTGGCCCAAGCGATGGCGCCTGGCATGGTGTTGGGAGAGAGGTTCCCGTCTGCACACCGCTGACCCCTTCGGGGACGTCATGGCGAGAAGGGTCGGCGGCGCTTGGGGCTAGCAGGGAGTCATCCCTGACCCTGACGTCGGTGGGCAAGTGGCTCGCCCGTGCCGTGTGAGCCCCTGCTCCAGTGGATGGATCCACAGGATCCAACGTTGACGCTTTTTACTCTTGACGACGCCGCAGACAGCATGGAGCAGTAGAGCCTCGACATAGGGATCATGTCCGTGCTCGAGGCCCTAGACCACGCCATGGGCGCATTATGTGACATTGTCATTTCCTCCAGCCAGGTATTGCTTGATCCCGCTTCTTGCTCTTTTCTTCCTATATATACTTTTTGTATCCTGACCATCATCTTTCTGTAGTCCCTTATAACTCGGGGGAAATCTCGGTTTATTCGTCAATAGAATGAAGCCTAGGACTACCTCATCGAGGAGGCATGACTACGTGGGGAGGTGATAGCTCGGCTCGTTGCTGCCCAGCAAA